CCACTAAGCCACTAGAGCTTCCTGAAGCCTGAGTAAACGTCTGTTAAATGTGTCAAAGCCATTTAAAGGAGCTCCAGTGCCTGCCATTTCCTACTTTTAACTCTTATTTCTTCCTACTTGTCCAGGTCCAGTCCTACTTTGCTTACATCTCCTAGAAACAGATTAATTATTTCCTGCCTCTATGCACAATGACTGTAACAATGGGCTCAAGCATATCAAGAGATTGTGAGGATGGTGCAGGATAAGTTTCAGTTCAGATCTGTTTAGAGGTTGTTATGAGTTATAGTAGATTCAGTGGCACCAAATTATAACAACAGAATGCTTTTAAAAATATGTATAATATTTAATATTTTTCATTGTTGAACATATTTTACCCCTTCTTTCCTCCTCTCCCAGTCTATCCCACAATGTACCCTTTGTTCCAGATTGTTGTTATTTATATATATACACACATATAATATACAATATACACAATATATGTAGTATATATATTGTGTATATATATGTATATATATATATAGTCTAATAATATATTCCTTTCAGACAGTTATTGCCCTCATCTGTTGTAATGCAGTGTTCATTATCATCTATCCATTCTTTTCTCATTCTCTCCACAGCCGCCCCTCATGTCTGTCCTATGTTATAAAAATGGTGTTATGTAGTGTTTGTCTTTCTGTGACTGAGATATTTCACTCAGCATAATGTTCTCCAGGATCTCCCACGTTGTGTAATGTTTTATGAGTTCATTGTTTTTCAGTGCTGTGTAATATTTAATTGTGTGAATGTACCATAGTTTTTCTATCTATTTGATTGTTTATGGGTAATTGGGTTACCTCCATCTCTTTGCAATTGTGAATAACAGCAATAAACATGGGTGTGCAACATTTGTTTGAAAAGTGGCTCCAGTTTCTTTTTTACTTTTTTAAATTTTTATAATTTTAATGAACATTTACAGAGATTTTGGATTTTCATTCATTCATTGCTATACTTCTCTCCCTGCCCAGCCCTCCACCCCCCAACCCCAGTTCACTCCTCTCTTTGAAAAGTAAAACTCCCTCCCTGGTGCACAATCTCCCTGCACCCCTCCCTCCGCCCCAAGTACATTCCAGTATGCAACCTTAATTGTGGACTCTTGTGATAACCATAATACCCTATCATACATCGCTTTTAAATTAGTCTCTCCCTCATCTGTTTCAGTGCAGTATACACAATTTATCCAGTTTTTCTCAGTCTTACCCCCACCCTGATATCAGTCCCATTTTACAGCAGTGGCACGATGCAGTATTTGTCCTTTTGTAACTGAGATATTTCACTCAGCATAATGTCCTCCGGGCTCACCCATTTTGAATAATATTGCATGAGTTTCTTGTTTTTCAATGCAGCGTAGTATTCCATTGTGTGAATATACCACAGCTTCTCTATCCATTTGTTTGTTGTTGGGTACCTGGGTTGTTTCCAACTCCTTGCTATTGTGAACAAAGCCACAATAAACATGGGTGTGCAAAAGTGGCTCCAGTTTCTTTACGGTATATTCCCAGTATCGGAATTGCTGGATCAAATGATATCTC